TCCATTTTCTGAAGAAGGGTCCAGACCCGAAACGTCAGCTTTCCTGCTCCTCTGATGCTGCTTGGCCTGCTGTGTTCATCCAGCTCTACACCTTGTTATTACAGGGAACATTGCCTGACATTGAACCACAAGGTGAACTCTACATCTGTTACGGACACTGCTGTTCTGGCCAATAGAGAACAAAGTAGAAAAGAGGCAATCCCTGCCCTAAGATCCAAAAACAAACTGTACAGATCAGAGTTAAACCCTTATACGACATGCAATGTGGTTATGTTTGTTTAAGTTGTGTGCTGTCTGTATCTGAAATGCAGCAATATTTCAAAATGGGAGATTAATCTATTCTCTGTCACTCATAATTTTGTATGTATTTTTTGATGTCTCTTCACAATTGTTTCAGTCCTCCATGCTATTCTTATCAACTGTGCTGCAAAGGATCATGTACTGCATGCTATTCACATACCTGTGCCTCCTTTCCAATGCTACATGTAATGTTTGGTGTTGGATAGCCTTTGAAAATACAAGTCAAGTTGACATAATGTTGACCTTCGTGTAATATCTTCTCTGTACAGTTGACTTTAGGTGGTCCTGCAGGAAGGAAAACAGGAGTTCAATTCTAGGGTCCTACACCAACAGACGTTTCTTTATTTAGCTGGATATTTATTCTGCAAGTCTTTCCTGAAGGTACTCCCTGTTGCTGGCATACACATCCTTAGTTACAGGCACCCCTTAGTATCTTCACATCTTGACTGTTCAATATTTGTAAGTCTAACATTTGTGGAAAACAGCTGGACCAAAGTCATCACAATCAAATTGCATCTGGTCCATAGCTGCAGACATTTACAAACCTCTAGCATAACACTGTACCACAAGATACATTTGAAGTACAGAATGATTCCAGTTGATGTTACAAGTCAGATTCCGGAATGAAATCTGGACCAATGGATCATATTTTGTTTCTTCAAATTTAACATGGCTGTCTTTCACTAAAACACAAGCAAGCAAGGCTTCAGACTTGGTCTTACTAATAAAACAGAAGTTTTTAATAAAAGAAAACAAACCAAGCTATCTACATATAACAGTCTGAAAGATTTCAGAAAAGATGGCAAAATAAAATCCAATCTATTCAACAATATCACTTTAGAGGTGATCAAAACTGAAAGAAACTTCTTCCCCATCAAATCTGAAGGTTTGATTAACTGCTTCTTCTTGGTTCTGGCCCGGAGCAGTGAGGCCTTTTACCTTCATGACTCACACACTGAGAACTTAGACTTTTTCAGCCTTTTAATAATCTGCAAAGTTCTAACCAAATATCCCTGGTCTGGAAATTTCACAAACTACACTCTTTTGCTGTGGCAACTTATTTCCTGAAATAGTAGGAAATGCCGATGCTGGAGAATCTGAGATAACATGGTGTAGAGCTGAATGAACACAGCAGGCCAAGCAGCATCAGAGGAGCAGGAAAGCTGACGTTTCGGGTCTAGACCCTTTTTCTGCTTGGCCTGCTGTGTTCATCCAGCTCCAGACCGTGTTAACTTATTTCCTGGTTGCTCTGAACAATCCTTTTTTTAAAGGGAAGGCTTCACTTGCATCTGACTTCAGTTAGATCCCCTATGAAAAACTTTCCGATCTCAGGATTTTCCTAAGGTGAAATCAATCATTAATTATTCTAAACCAAAAGCAGGCTAATGTGTTTCAATATTTCCCTTTTCTGTCATAACCCCCCACAATACAAATGAACTTTCTTTAATACGGCAGAAGTGGCAGACAAGTAAAAAGAGGTTAGGGTAAAAACAGATGGTTGGGATGTACCGGAAAGACCGACTATTCTTATTGTGGATTAGCAGCCTGCTTCAGATGACTTACATCCCAGTTTGCTTAAGGAAATGGGAGTGGAGACAGTAGAAGGTCTGCCATAAGCTTTCAATCTTCCCTAAAAACAACAGAGGTCCAAGAGGATTGGAGCACGGTAAACATGATACCTTTATTCATGAAAGCGTGTAAAGTCAGTCCTAGCAACCACAGCTGGAGTTAGTTCAAAATTTGTGCATAAAATCTTAGAATCAGTAATCAGGGAAAACAATTAATATGTACTTAGAAAGGTTTGAGTTAATGATGGAGAGCTAGCATAGATTTGCAAAAGACAAACTGTGTTTGACTATTCTAATTTAATATTTTAAAGTAACAGTAATGTTAAAAGGAAAGCCTTGATTCTTGTTTATATAAATTTGAAGAAAATGTTTGAAAGACGACCAATAAAACTCTTCTTTGCAAAATTGAAATTCATAGAATACACTACAGAAACGCGGTATAAATGGAGCACCCTTGTTCCTGCCCAGGGCGGCATGGTGACTCAGTGGTTAGCACTGCTGACTCACAGCACCAGGGACCCAGGTTCAATTCTACCCTCGGGCAACTGTCTGTGTGGAGTTTGCACATTCTCCCCGTGTCTGCGTGGGTTTCCTCCGGGTGCTCTGGTTTCCACCCACAGTCCAAAGATATGCAGGTTAGGTGGATTGGCCATGCTAAATTGCCCATAGTGTTCAGGGATGTGTATCTTAGGTGGGTTAGAGGGGGATGGGTCTGGGTGGGTTGCTCTAAGGGTCAGTGTGGACTTGTTGGGCTGAAGGGCCTGTTTCCACACTGTGGGGATTCTGTAGAATACGCAGGCCAGTTAGGGTTAACTTAGATAAATATCTGCCATAAGAGCAGAAATGTGTTATGGTAAAATGGCCATGTTTCAGAATGGAGGATAGTAAACAATGCTTTGACAATTGATTTTTTGATATATGACTTGGATATTGGAATGTAAAGTAAAATTTCCAAAGGTGCTAATGAACCTAATTTGGAGGAATGATATACAGTAAGAAATATGCTATTCAACTGCAACAGGACATAGCAGGATGGGTAGACAAATGACAGACAGAACTTAACACTAGGAAATGTTAGGTGAGCCATTTTGGTAGAAACAGATATAATCATCGAGATCAGTAGGAAGGACAATATTGACTTGTTGGTACAATTCCATATTATGTGCAGGAACAGAGGAATCTGGGGTTGCATGCACATAAATCATTGAGGTAATCGCAGAGCATATGGGATTTTGGGATTCTTAAATTGAGGTGTTAAGGATGCAAGTGGGGAAGTTATGCTGAACCTGTATAAAGCCTGGGTTATGCTACAACAGTCTTGCATCCAGTTCTGGTCATTAGACCTTAGGAAAATTGTGAAGCACCTTGAAAAGGGGCTGAGATGATATACCAGAGACGATGGATTTCAGTTTCAAGATTGCAATGGAGAAACTGCATTTTCATCCTTCGAACAAATAACATTGAAAAAAACTGATAGCGTTGTTCAAGATTATAACAGATTTAGATAGGAATACATACACATTAAAAAATTCTGATTAGGTAGTGGGAACACAAGGGAATACAAACTTCAGGTTTTGGGTAAGAAACAAGGAGAATGTGAGGAAGAACATTTTTCTGAAATGCAATGAGTAGTAATGACCTGGAACTTCTTGTATACAAAAGTGATGGAAGTAGTAATGTTGAATGATTTATACTGGACATTGGATGGATGCTTGACGGAAATAAACTTACAGGGCTAAAGGGATAAAGCAGGGAAGAGGAACTGAGTGGATTTTTCTACAGAGAGCTAGCAGGGACTTGATGAGTTAAATGGCCTCTCTTCACCTCGTGCCATTATAATCCTGAACAGTTTAGGATATATCAGTGTTTCTGAGAGGGGTTTGGGATAAATCAGTGTTATAGTGTGAGGGTGGGCTTTATCAATGTTAGACTGAGCAATGTGGGGTACATCAGAGTATTACTGTGAGGGTTAGGAGGACAGGTAGGAGGAGACATTCCAGTCAGTGATGTGGACCCTCAGATTTTTACAGTTTGACTGTGGGATGTATCAGGGTGTTATATACAATTTGTGGAGTATATTAAAGTGTTGTATTGAGCATATCAGTTGTTAAAGTCAAGAGTGGTGAATCTGCGCAGGCATCAGGTTATAAATACATCAGGTGTGTACAGTCCTGTACACAGTTTTGCTCTCCTTATGAAGAAAGGATATAAATGTGTTAGAAGTAGTTAAGAGAAGGTTCACTCAAATGATGGGTCTTATCTTTTGTGGAAAGAACGAACAGGCTGGACCTGTATCCAATGAGTTTAAAAGAATAAAGAGGTGATCTTATTATATGTACAAGACAGAAAAGATTGTGAAAGGCACTGACAGAGTGGATGCTGAAAGGACAGTACCCTTTGTGGAAAAGATGTGAACCAGGGGACACAGTTGAGAAAGGACTCTACTATTTAACGTGGAAATGAGAAGAATGTTTTTCTCTTAGAAGGTCATGATTCTTTGGAACTTTTCCCCAGAGAATGGTCAAGGCAGATTCATTGAATATTTTAGGGGAGAAGTAGATGGATTCTTCACTAACAAGGGAGTGAAGGTTATCAAGTTTAGGTCACAAGTAGATCAGCCATGATTTTATTGAATGGCAGAGCATGCTAGAGAGGCCAAATTACCTACCTCTGCCCCTAATTTGTATATATGTATGTAACAGTATACATGATGTGCCAAGTAATCTTACTGATTGGCTGTTCGTACCTTTGACTGTAACTCTGATGGACTTTTTTCGATGCAGACTTGGAACACCCCTGATTGTAACTTCACAGGTGTAGTTTCCAGAATCATCAGATGTGACCACAGGTAGTTGAAGAAGATTTGCAGAACTGACTATCTTCTAAAGGAACAATCAATCAATCAGGAGATGGTTAATAAACAGGTGGAGTGGTAAATTTCTCAAAAAGTATACTCCGTGCAAACTCAGGAACAGATTTCTCTTTCTCACTAATTCCAAGTCCCTTATTGAATTCAGAGAAAAACCTTTCTTTGGACTGGAGCCACATCTACCACAAGGGAAGTCTTTTGTATTCATTGGAGACCAACCATCTCACAAACACAGGAGTTCCACATGGCAGTGCTCCAGAACAAACAACCTCAGCAGTTTCATCAATAATTTTGGACAGAAGAACGGGTGTTTACTACAACCGTACAACGTTCAGTTCCAGTTGCAACTCATCAGATAATGAAGCAGGCTGAGATGACATAAAGCAAGGCTTGGACAGTATTCAGGTTTGGGCTAATAAGAAATGTGCACAGCACACACTTGAGGCAATGATCTTCTCTGATAAGAAAGCTTATATTTGTCTAGGGCCTTTTACATATAAAAACATCTCAAGGCACTTCATGGACATATTACAGAGCAAAATGACACCAGGCCAAATAAGGAGACACTATGTCAAATGACCGAAGACTTGTTAAAGATAAGAGGAGTAAAAGTATGGGAATATATAGGAATACTGACAATAATATATGCTTTAAGGTAACAGGGAAGGATACAAGTATGATGAAAACCAGGTAAATTTAGAAAAGCTGATTTTGAAAGGCTGATAGCAATGGGGAAAATAAATGACAACAATATTGGTAAACAGCAATGGGAAATTTTTAAAATGATGAAGCTTCCTCTACACAGTCCCCATCAAACATTCCAAGGGTGAATACACCAGCATAAAATTTCAGAATAATGGTATCCCTAAACTATTCCATCAAACACAGAGTCAGGAATTGGTACAGACACCTCAATTGTCCTATTAAATATTGCACAAAGAGGAAATTAATCCAAAGGCTCTTTCCAGCATCATTCTATGGGTCTTAATCCTACCTTGTGTTTTTTCCAAATCACAGATGTCTGTTGTGATCCCTCTGCGCTACAATAGATACTTTTATTTTTGTCACCCTCCTTAAAAATGTATGGTCCTTTTGGTTTCAGTGCAATCGGATCCAGATCTGTTAGAGAGGTGCAGAGAGGAACAAAAACTCAATTACTTGTTAACCCTATTTAACAGCCGTGCCCCTTAATCCTTACATTAAACTTGAAGCTGGCCTTTCAGCCCTTTCAAAGAAATAGAAATCTAGGAGCAGAAGTAGGCCATTTGGTCCTTCAAACCTGCTTCACCTTTCAGTATGATCATAGCTGATCCTTTATCTCAAGGCCATATTTCCACTTTCTCCCCATACAGCTTGATGCCTTTAAAATCTAAAAATAAAATCACCTCTCTCTTTCTTGAATATATTCAGTGATTTGGCCTCCACAGTGCTTTGTGGTAAAGATTTCTATGTTCACTACCCTGTGAGTGAAGACATTTTTCCTCATCTCAGGCCTAAATGGTCTACCCATACCCTGAGGCTGCTCCCCTGGTTCTAGATTCCTCAACCCCAGGAATAACATTTACCCTACATCTAGCCCACCTAGCCTTGTTACATTATTTAATGTTTCAATAAGATCCCCTCTTATCCTTCTAAACTCTAGTGAAAACAGGCCCAGTTGATCCAATCTCTCCTCATTGCACAGTCCTGCCATCCCGGTATCAGCCTAGTGAACCTCTGTTGCTCTTGCTCCTACGGTAAGGATATCCTTTCTTAGGTAGGGAGACCAAAACTGCATGCAGTACTCCAGGTCTTCTCTCTTCAAGGCCCTGCATAACTGCAGTCAGATGTCTCTACTTCAGAAATCAAATTGCTGCACCTGTCTGTCTACTTTAATTGACTGGAGTACAAGGGCACCCAGATCCCTTTGAACATCCCTAATCAGCATTCCTAACAGCACCTTGGGTGTCTTTACACCGCGAGGACTATAACAGTTTAAAAAGGCAGCTTGTCACCACCTTGTCTAGGGCAATTAGAGATGGACAATAAATGTTGGTCTTGACAGTGGTGTGATCAACAAAAAAACAAGTATTTTGGAAGGACAAACATGAAAGCAGAATACAGGGTTAACGGAAAGATTCTCGGCAGTGTGGAGGAGCAGAGGGATCTTGGGGTTCATGTCCACAGTTCCCTGAGAGCTGCCACCCAGGTGGATAGAGTTGTTAAGAAGGCGTATGGTGTGTTAACTTTCATTAATAGGAGGGATTGAGTTCAAGAGCCGTGAAGTTATGCTCCAGCTATACAAAAGCCTGGTTCGGCTACATCTGGAGTATTGTGTCCAGTTCTGGTCACCTCATTACAGGAAAGATGTGGAAGCGTTAGAAAAGGTGCAGAGGAGATTTACCAGGATGTTGCCTGGAATGGAGGGAAGGTCTTACGAGGAAAGGTTGAGAGAGCTAGGGCTTTTCTCTTTAGAACGACAAAGGATGAGAGGTGACTTGATAGAGGTGTACAAAATGATCAGAGGTAGAGATAGACAGCCAGAGACTTTTTCCTAGGGTGGAGGTAGCTTTTATGAGGGGACATAGTTTTAAATTGAAAGGAGGTAGATATCGGGGAGACGTCAGAGGTAGGTTCTTTACTCAGAGAGTGGTAGGGGCGTGGAATGCATTGCCGGAGAGGGTAGTGGAGTCGGCCTCATTAGGGACATTTAAGCGGCTATTAGATAGGCATATGGATGATAGTATAAGGTAGCAGTGGAGGTTAGATAGACCCTAGATTTAGGCTAAAAGTTCGGCACAACATCGTGGGCCGAAGGGCCTGTACTGTGCTGTACTGTTCTATGTTCTATGTATGCAATGCCTGATAATTCACTAAATTAACACATCTTCCAGAGTGGCACTTAGAGACAGCAGCAATGAGCAGATTAGGCTTTAGGTTTGCTGCACCATTCAATAAGATCATGGCTCATCCGATGGTGGTATCAACTCCACCTTTTTGTCTGCTACCTGTATCCCATTACTCCCCTGTCAATCAGACATATACTCAGCGGTGCCTTGAATAAATTCAATGATGCAGACTCCACTACTTTTGAGAGAACAGAATTCCACAGACTAATGATCCACTGATAGACGAAAATTTTGCTTGTCTCCATCTTTAAAAAAAAGACCTCATATTCTTAAACTGTGCCCTCTAGTTCTATTCACTATGTGCCCAGTATCCACCGCATCATCGAATCATACAGTAGAGAAAAGGCCCTTCAATCCATTGAGTCTGTGCTGTCAAAAATACACTAGCCCCACTCGCCTGCACTAGGCCCGTAGCCTTGAATGTTATGACACATCATGGGTCTATCTATAGCACATTGATTGCAGTAGTTCAAGAAGGCAGCTCATCTTTGCTTTCTCAAGGGCAATTGGGGATGAGCAATAAATGCTGGTCCAACCAGCAATGCCCATGTTCCTCCAATGAATAAAAGTAGTCTAGAATTCCCCATTTTCTCTCCACCTTTTTTTAAACAGTGGGGTTACATTTGCTTCTATCCATTGGAACTGTTGCAGAGCCTACAGAATCTTGAAAGATGACCACCAATGCATCCACTATTTCTATGGCAACTTCTTTAACTACTCTTGGAAGATCATCTGCTGCATGGTTTGGAGTTCTGAAGTGTGAAGAAAGATTATTTTTCTGGAGACTAAAATATTTAAATTGCTCTGGGTTTTCCCGGTGGTGGGAAAAGACCAAGAGCCCTGCTGAGGTTGTCCCTAAAATATTGCCCTCGTAAATCTAGAATGCAACATACTTAACAATTGGGACAGATACCCTTTCCATCTTCTAATGATTGATCCCATTAAGATCCTTATTCTTACAGATACGCAAAGAATCACCACTAACACCTGCCTATCATAAGGAAGCTGACATTTGTAGAGTTCGACACCAGTCATGAGTTTTTAGGAGAGGAAGAGGAAGTAGAGAAAACAAATACGTACAATTGATTGTTATTGTCTTGTTTGCATTAAAATCCGTGTCATCTGCATCAAAGTCCAGCACTCTACAGCCATAAACACCACTCTCATTTCGTTTCACTCCAACAAGTTCAAAGGTGTTGCCAGTGCCACTTCCAAGGATCTCCTCTTCTTGTCCATCCTGGCCATTAGAAAGGAAGCACAATATTGTTGCAAAGATTATTTCCTTTTGACTAATCTCAGATTGCTCAGGAAGTAACGTATTGGAATATTTTTGCCCAGCAGGTACAGATATTGTCAAGAGTGTTAAATATACACATGTCTACGTGCTCTTTAACATCAAGAATAAATAAGCTAGTAATACGTCACCTAAGGAAGGCACAGACATTTACATCCTGTGCCTATATCATGACAATCTACACAGGCTCCCATTTTCTGAAACTGTATTGAATGAACTTATGAACTTAACAATACACAAAGTTCCAGTTAGCTTTAATGTCACCATGTTTGTTTCCTTATTAGGTAGTGTTGCCATGGGATCTCCTCTAGACCCATATTTTGCAAATGAGTAATGTTGGTATGATTCCAGCAAATGTTATAAGTGGACAAGTCAGATAAAGCCACGGAGTCATTCAGCACGAAAACAGACCTTTCAGCCCAACTCGTGCCAACCAGGTATCCTAAACTGAACTAGCCCCTTTTTCCTGTGTTTTGCCCCATCCCTCTAAACCCTTCCTATCCATCTACCTGTCCAAATATCTGTTAAATGTTGTAACTGTATTCGCCTCTACCACTTCCTTTGGCAGCTTGTTCCAAATATGCAGTACCCTCTGTGTGAAAAAGTTGACCCTCAGGTCCATTTTAAATCTTTCCCCTTTCACCTTCAAACTGTACCCTCCAGTTTTGGACTCCCCTGCCCTGGGGAAAAGACCTTGCTGAAACCTGGCTTGATGGATCAGATTTTGATTTTTTTTTGTTTTAATGAGGTACACTGAAACACAAACACACAATAGATTCAGAAGCTTATTATGCAAAAGAAATAGTCATTACAGGCTTTTAACCAAACACTTCTGGTCTGGAACTTTACAACTGAAGAGCTAACCAAGTTCTTAACAGTTATAAACAATCTACCTTTCTCAGAAGAAATTGTTTTATACATCCATCTTCAGTCAAAACTTCTGCAAAAATGAATCCCAAATTGAAGCCCAAAACATTTCTTTTCAATCTATGGATGTTTTCCTTAAACAAAATAAAATAATCAATCTCTGATTTTCTAATCTAAAAGTCTAATTCACAACTGTTTACTTTGTTCACTGGTAAAATCTTTCACAATCTAAATAAATTCTTAATAGCCTCTAAGAACCATCTGTCTCAGACTGTTTTTAAAATAAATCACCATGGCTGCAGAAATACTTCCAAATCAATCATTATGCTCCTTCAAACATACTGCTCAAACTCATTTGTCTCTAATTAGAAAAACCCTCTAAAATAAATGATATTAAAATATACTTAAATCACACACCTTAAATCAGAATGTGTTATATTAATTTCAATGCTGCGTGATGCCAGGGATGTTGGTCTATATGTTCCGGTGATTAAAAGATCATATCGAATGTCCCGTCAGCTATCCATAATAGGCAGCATATTAACCAAAGTTAATCAGCCTGTGCTTACAAAACCCAAAACAAAGGGGAAACAAGAAAGAAAGGAGAACACGCCCCCATCTACATCAATGGAACTGAGTTTGGAGAGAGTGAAGAGCATCAAGTTCCTCGGAGTGATGGTAACCGACGACCTGTCCTGGACTTCCCACGTAGATGCAACAGTCAACGCCTCTTCCTCCTCAGGCGGCTCAGGAAATTTGGTATGTCCATAAGGTCCCTCACCAACTTCTACAGATGCCTCATTGAAAGCACACTGTCTGGGTGCATAACGGCCTGGTATGCCAACTGCTTTGTCAAAGCCCATAAGAAACTACAGAAAGTGATGTGCATAGCCCAGACCATCATGGAAGACAACCTTCGGTCCATGGACTCTATTTATACAGCTCGCTGCCGCAGAAAGACGGCCAAAATCGTTAAAGACCCATCGCACCCGGATAATGATCTCCTACAACCTCTTCCGTCAGGCAGAAGGTACAGAAACCTAAACACACACACCAGCAGGTTCAGGAACAGCTTCTTCCTGGCCATTATCAGACTGTTGAATGGACTCTAGCCTCAAATAATGTAACCTGTATGCCTACAAGTCTTTTAGACCTGTGCATCCCTTGCTTGCTGTGACCTGCCTGTACCGCTCGTAAACAAAGCTTTTCACTGTATTTCGGTACATGTGACAATAAAATCAATTGATCAACCAATCATTAAAACATTTTCTCTGCCTTGAGGAGCATGGGAAATAGTGAGAAAGTTGGGGAAACATGCTAAAAATGAAAAAAAAAGATACTGAACATAAAGGGAAAATTGAAATCATTTTTCCTCTAAGGTTTTCAACAGCAAGTTCAGAATCTTCCAACCAAGTGGTAACTACCTTTGTCCTAACAATTGCACCTCATTATTTGCAAAATTTGCTTCATTTCTAGGCAGCTCCTAATTCTGCCCTCCTTTCCCAAGAGACTAGATGGCACCAATACCCGACATGAAAGTCAGAGCTGTTACCTGGTGGCAGCAGCTTGCCACTTGCTTCTTTCAAACAAACTATCTTCTTCCCAATATCCTGCACACTCCATGACATCGTTCTCTTCCCCTTTGGCCACGAAAGTGGATCTTGTCAAACCATCAGATCTTCCTCAAGGCTGCTTTCAGACCAACTCACACAGGACTTCAGCCTTCTTGAACCTCACTTTGGCTCTCACAATACTTATGTATAATTTTGCCAGATTGCTTTGTGCACAGGGAGCAATTTGCATCTCATGCACCTTCACAGGATGCATCTTATGGCCCTTAGCTTGTTTTCTTAGTGTTCGCTCACTTTGCACTTGCAGGGAGGCTGCCAGCCTCTGTGGCTTGCTCTGCTTTTTGTTGGACTTATGGCAGCAGCTTGTTACACTTCAAAGCATTGAACAGTTCAAGCAATGAACATGCTACCAGTTCAGCATCATGCTACATTAATGTAATACTTACAGGATGCGCCAGCAACCAAAGACACTGAATGTGCTTCAACCAAATGGCCATTTTAAAAGTCAGAGGGACTACAATCAGTCAGGGGCTACCACTTTAGTTAGTTAAGGGGCCTGGCTGATTCCAGGCCAGAAGATTGGTCACAATCAATCCTGCGGGTGCAACTGGGTCAGGGATTACAGATATATCAATGTAGGTGTGGTTGATATCTGTATGGATGAGCAAATATTGCTACAAGGAGACAAAAGGAAGGATGGAAGTGGTTGAAGAGGTGGACAGAACAGACTGAGTAAGAGATGATATGCCAGAGTCCGAGGACAGAATCTAGAATGAAGGAACAAGAAAGTGCAATCACATTGCTTGGTGTAACCTACAGGCAACAAACTCATGGGAGGATATAGTAGGAACTGCAGAGTTTATTTTTATTCATTCATGGGATAAGGGCATCGCTGGCTAGGTCAGCAATTATTGCCCATTCCTAATTGTCCAGAGGGCAGTTAGGATTCAACTATATTGCTGTGGGTCTGGAGTCACATGTAGGCCAGACCAGGTAAGGATGGCAGTTTCCTTCCCTAAAGGACATTAGTGAAACAGATGGGTTTTTCCAATAATCAATTCATCATTAAGACGCTTAATTCTATTTTTTTTAAACTGAATTCAAATGCCACCAACTGGCAGGGTGGGATTCAGTCTGGGTTCCCCAGAACATTACCTGGGTCTCTGGATTAACAGTCCAGCGATAATACCACTAGGCCATCGCTTACCCCCAAGTATGAACATATTTGCAAGGAAATTAAACATTCTGTGTTTACATGGTGAGTAGTACAAATTAGAGTCAAATTTCTGAAGTCTGAGGAAGGGTCACTTAACCTGAAACGTCAACTCGGATTTCTCTCCACAGATGCTGCTAGACCTGCTGAGCTTTTCCAGCAATTTCTATTTTTGTTTCTGATTTCCAGCATCCAAAGTTCTTTTGGTTTTTATTCAGTACAAATTAGGGATTCACCCATGTGGTGTAAGCTGAAAACGCACTTGGTTAGAGATGCAATGATATCTAATGTATGTTCCTGCAAATAAAAGTTTATAAGTCAATGAAAACTGGGGTCCTGTGTTCCACCCTTCACAGGCTCATGGCTCTGAGTTCTAACAAGGCATATTGGTTACCACACTCATTTTAGATGTTATTATTAAACAATCCCTTGGATTTCCTTACTTCCAGTCTAGATCTGTGGTTCCTGAGGTGACAAAACAGTTCAAGACTGAATCCACAACATTGCTACAGATGGGGCAGTGGAGGTCAGGGGGATGCTCAGGTTTTTGAAAACTCCTTTCACTGATTGTGCTTTACCTCTACTTGGGCCGACTGGTAGTGCCTGAAATGGTTAGCTCCTGTCTAGATGCTTCTTCTCCAGTTTGGATGGTCTTGGGTAAGAGATTTCCATGAGTTGGTGAGGGTGTTGGATTTTTCAGCGAGGCTTTGTGGATATTCATAAAGTATTTCCTGTGCCCTGCATGTAACTGCTTGTCATGATGAGGCTCAGATAAGACAGCTTGCCTTGGAAGTCTTGTGTCAGGTTTGAAGGCAATGTGACCCATCGAACATAGCTAATTAGCCACACCCAGTGCCCTGGTGCTTGGAATGTTGGCCTGAAGGAAGACACTATAGTGGAGTGCTTATCCTGGCAATGAATTTTCAGGACTTATGAAGGCATTGCTGGTGACATTTCTCTAGGGATTTGAGGTGTCAAATAGTGGCAGATGTTTGGACCTCTGTTCCACAAATGGCAGTGGATGCTGGATTAGTTGATAATTTTAAATTTGAAATAGATAAATTTCATTAAACAAAGCTATTAAGGGCTATGGGCCAAAGGCAGGTATATGGAGTTAGCCCACAGACCAGCCATGATCTCAGTGAATGGTGGAACAGGCTGAAGGGGCTGAACATTTCTATGCTCCCATTTGTCTGCTGTATGGTTGTGCATATTTCTGATACATTCAGGTTAGCAGATGTGTCCAGTGGGAAGCCCTGTAGACCAAGAGATTAGTGCCAGGTTTGAGGTCT